TACTTCTGGTCAAACCGACACAGGCATCACATCAACAACAACTACTAGTTCTGGACAAACCGGTACAGGAGTCACTACAATGACGGCAACCCAAGTGACAGATACAGGCATGACAACAGCAACATCCACAAGTAGTTCAACGACGGCAGTTACAACGATAACAAGCACTGTAACAACAACAACAGTATCGGCTACAAGTATAATGACTACTGCTGTCACAACTCCATTTACAATAGGTGAGATATTTAACATTGTTGTTTGTGATGAGGAATGATAAAATGGTCATGTACTTGGATATTGTTTTTAATTTTACCATTGAATGTTAATTTATATCTATTTAAGTGTGCTCCTGCAAGGACGAAAGTGTAACCGGTTGTACCCTAATACAAAACTTGATGATGCCTTGCAATTCAAGTACAAGTGGCTTTCAAACGATCGAAACAACTTGTAATTGTAATAATAATACTCATCCGATTGTAAATATAAGAAATATTAGTTGTGTTCCTAATTGTCCTGGTAAGTGTAACTTGTTAGCTGTAAATATTTAAAATTCATTGTATTTTACTCTTACTGTTATATAGTAACAGTAACTCAATTAAATCAAAATGTGAGTGCAACGAATCTTTTGATGCGAGTTACTTCGGTACCTTTACCATTTTCCTATCAATACACGAATGAAACGGCTAGTCACAAAGTTCTTTATGTAATAGATTTTAACTGATAGTTAACTTTTGTATAGAATCTTTTTATATATAGGTCACTGATAAAGGTTATATCACACTTGATAAACCATTTTATGCTATTCAACCAACACAAAGTGATACAATAGACATACCATATATTGCACCGTTTTGGACAAATCTCATTTATGTGAACGAAACAACTAGTATTATGGTGAGTGAACGTATACTATTTCATATGTATTTATGTTAAAATCATTTCTTTTAGTCTGTTATTTATAATGGATTATCTCCTACCTCACGAGAAATAGCAGTTGTACAAGATACTGTGATCCAACAAAATCAAACGCCAATTTATGATGAAGCACTTGCGTATCGTGTTGTGAAAATAGAATGGAATAAACTAGTGACAAATCTTGATAGTTCGAATAATAATGCAGCATCAGGCTCTCAAGTATGACAAGAATTGTATATTTTTCGATTAGTATACTATTTTATCTTATTCTAGAATATTGTATTTGATGCTTATTTAATAAATGGACCTGGGGCTGGTTTTACTACATGGAATTCTTATCTTCGATTTGAATACACTCTTAATAGTACGACACAAAGTCCTAATTATCAACCGGTCATCATCGGTATGTTTAAAACTTTATTTTTCAACTAATTATTTTCTTCTAAAAAGGATATCGTGGTGAAAATGCTACTGCACATTTATCGAGTGTTTCATTTACAAATCAAATTACAGATTTTATTAACGGTAAATATATTATTTAATTTAACGAAAACAAAATACCTAATAAATATTTTTTATTAGAAATGAACAAGACTCGAACATATTTTTTAAGTTCAAGAATATTAAGTACATGTGAACAATGGTATTGGGCGACATATACAGATATTTTATTTCAACGATCAGTTAATTTTACGTATGACTTTTGTATTAACTTTTTGTTTTTATAAATTTTTATTTCTAATTAGAACTGTCAAACGAAATCCATGTCCTTGTTCATATTCTCAAGCTTCATCTGATTTCCGATTTACAAGAATGGATAGTGAAAATCGATTAGAATTAAGCAATAATGTCGCTTGTTTTGTTCCATTAACTTCATTTACACAACGAGCATCCGATGCAACATCTTATCAACAAGTAAATATTTCCAAAAAGAAAATTTCCGAAATTTATTAATTCTCATGTAGACATGTTGTTATTTTACTGATGAAGATTCATTAATTACATCTGGCGAATTTGCTGGATCTATTATTGATCAATCAACATTACAATTATTACAAAATACAATTAATAATCCACAACGTATCCAAGAACGGTAAGAAAATAGACTTTTGTCTTATGTCATATCATATATTGTTTTTAGTGATTGGTGTTGTATTGCAAATAATGGAACAATCGATTGGTCTCAATGGTGTAATTTATATTACGAACTTCGACCTGCAAGTATATGTGATGGATATGAACCACCTCAACAAGGTAAAATTTCTTTAATAAAAATTCTATTTAATTAAAAAAATTCTTTCAGCTTGGTTTGGTGGTGATCCTCATATACAAACATCGGATAATGCAAATTATACTTGTAATGTCTATGGTTCATTTATATATGCTCAAACAACAAATGATGCTAATATAACAGCAAATAATAATACAGATTCAAGTTCAACAATTCTAAAAGATTTAATAAGCAATGAATTATTTTCGATTGTCGCTCGAACAAGTAAAAGTTCATCACTTTTACGAGCTAATGATTTTTTTAATCAAACTATAACATATTTTTCATCATTTACAATGTATCTTGGATCAAATAATTCAGTTATAATTGATGTTAGTATTGAACCAACAAATAATTATCAATTTCGTAAGTCTTTTTTTTTGCTAATTATTAAATATTTATCTTAAATTTATTTTAGGAGTAAGATATTTAACTGTCAATAATTCGGTTTCAAGAAATCCATTTAATCTTTCCAATGATTTTGTTGAATATTTTTATTATCCAACATCATCAAACAATACAACTCCATATACATTTTCAATAATCAAAGAAAATCAAACAATATCAGCAAATAATTGGAATACATATAGTACAACACAACAAATTGTTTCAGTACAAGTACAGAAATTAACTATATCAACATGGTCTGGTATGTTTCGATTATAGAAAAAATTTTTTTTTAAATAATTAGTATCTAATAATTCATAGGTTTAGCAATGCAATGTTATCTAATAACAAATAATATGGCATGTACATTATTATTACCACAAAAATATACTGGTAATATTCAAGGTCTTGCTTTTGGAAATTATATAAGTAATGATGATCAATATTGTGTCAATTGTACGTTATTGAAAAATAAAATAAAAGATATCGACACGTTTTTTTTTGTTTAAAATTATAGATTCATCAGTAGCAAATGGAACTGAAGTATTATCATTAGATCGAAGTAGTCTTATAACCTGGTTTAATACAGCTGCATCTCCGACCTATCGAAATTATATAAATAATATTTCATGTCCATTTGATAAAACATCAACAACATATAATTTTTGTGTACAAGATACACTTCTTTCTCAATCATCATTATTAGGACAATTGACTGCCAAAAGTTCAATCGATTATACAACAGCTGATACTACTCTTAGTAATACAATAGAATTTTAATATATATGTTTATTATTCTTTTTACTCATTTCAGGTGTCAATCCTCCCAAAATAACATTAGTACAACCAACATCATTTGATACACCATATACATATTTATTAATAATACCATATACTGATACATTACAAAATGAAACATTTAATTATATTGATGTTACAGTTGATTCAACATCATCTATTATTGTTCAAGTACGTGATAGAAATACGAGCACTCCAGTAGATTGTATATTCAATGGTACATTATATTCTTGTCCGTTTTCATATACAACTGCTACTAGTAATCTAATTCAATTGACGTATGTATTCGAATATTTTTATGAATTTTTATCTTTTCTTTAATTTAAAGAATTCTTGCCATCGATATAATCAATAATATAACATCGTATCAAAGAGTATCATTAGTTGTCAATGAATGTATGAATGGTCAAGCAGTATGGACGAATCCAACAATTTTATCATCTTCTGTTAGTGTTTTATATTGTGTTTGTGATGAAATATCAGCTGGTTTGTCAAAAAGAATAATTCTATTAAATTCCTAAAAAAATTTCGTTTAATTTAGGAGAATTTTGTGAGCGATCAGTTAGTTGTGCTGATTTATCTGCATGTCAATTAAATTTTCTTTCAAATGTTACTTGTATTACAAATCTATCAATTATATCTACAAATAGTGGACGAGCACCATATCAATGTATAAATAGTATAACAAATATTTCATGTTCGAATAATTCAGAGTGTTGTCAAAAAGGTTATGGATTTAATACTGATATACAACAATGTTTATGTAACTAAGAAATATTTAAAAGAAACAAAAACTTTTTTTTTCTTTGTATTTTTAGTTCAAACAGTTTGTAATGATTATT